CCACATGAAGAGTCCCTTGCTGTGGCTTAACAGCATTTATTCCTGTAGAAGTCCCACATGAAGAGTCCCTTGCTGTGGCTTAACAGCATTTATTCCTGTAGAAGTCCCACATGAGGAGTCCCTTGCTGTGGCTTAACAGCATTTATTCCTGTAGAAGTCCCACATGAAGAGTCCCTTGCTGAGGCTTAACAGCATTTATTCCAAGAGAAGTCCCACATGAAGAGTCCCTTGCTGTGTTTCATGCTGTGACCTTAGACTGAAGGAATATTAAGTGATGAATTATACTTTATTGTAGAAAAAAAAAACGATTTTCGTTTGGCCTTCTGTTGGGTTCCCTTGGGTGAAAATATCAGATCTCGTCGTGGCCATGTCATCTCGCGTGACTTACTCACAGGAACAAAGATTTTCATGAAGAAAAGACAGAAACTATTTACATTTTATTTAATAAAACTTCACAAGTTATGGAAAACCACTGACAAATATAGTAAAGACACCAATGGGTAAGCTTGGTAGCTTTATATAGCATTGTGTTATCTTTAAAATCATAAATGATATTCAACGTTAAACTGGTACACAATTAAAAACATTTTATTTAGGCCTATCTATGGCCTTCAAAAGGTTGACGACTCTACGTGTATCGACGTTACAACGTCATCCTTAGGACTTTAACTTAATACACAAGTGCCAAAATACTATAATTAATTGTGTTATCTTTGTTTGAGAAACTTTTATTTGTAAGATGGTCTGCAAGTCACTTTCCCCGAGTTCAAACAAAATACATTAAAACTGATTTTAAAACCAGCAGCCATAACTATTTTTAATAACAAGTTCTTTACCCCACACCACAACAAGGAACAACTTGCTTGATGACCACTTCTCAAATGTTTCCACCCGCAGTTGAGCCTGAATATGATTTCATGGTGCATAATTTGTTTTATCTTTTCGATCAAATTAGGCCTAAGCTATAACTTAGTTTCCAAGGTTAAGGTTCTGTACACTTGCTCCTTTCAATCTGAAAGACACGTTATGGCTGAACGGCCAGGTCAGAGACCATAAGACTTAAGTATAGACGCCCCTAATTTACAACTGCTGACCAGTTAGCTATCACCAACGGCACGGATATTCTAGACTCTAGAGTCTAGTTGAATGGCTAAATTGAGTCTTAGTTTTGTGACACGCCCACAACTTAAATTCCAGAGCTTGCGGTTTCACTTTGTCCATAAGAGCTTCCAGGTAAGTTTCCAAACTTCCAACGCTAAAATCCTGGGTTCGATTCCCGCGCGGTGGACACAGCAGATAGCCCAATGTGACTTTGCTCTAAAACAAACATTGTTAAACAAGAGTTTCCAGTATATCTTATCTCACGTAAGTTAGTCGGTTCCAATGGATTCCAAAGTTCTGTAAAATTCAGCATTAAAATAAACAAGACAGCGTGCGATTATTTTGAATCGCACAAAGTCTGATTAAAACTGTTTTTTTTTTAATACTCACTTCCATCAAGTTTAAATAAATCATTGTTTTCTAGAATTATTGTTTTCGTTTATAAAGATTATGAAATTAACCTAAACAGTATGTCCGCTTAATAATTTAGAAGGGTAAATATTAGTATTATTAGTAAAATATAGCAGCAGTATTCTTCAAAACTAAAACGGGTTTAAATGTGGTAAGATAAAGGGGAATTCAAACACCAGACATATGTGGTAAGATAAAGGGGAATTCAAACACCAGACATATGTGGTAAGATAAAGGGGAATTCAAACACCAGACATATGTGGTAAGATAAAGGGGAATTCAAACACCAGACAATATAGCAGCAGTATTCTTCAAAACTAAAACGGGTTCAAATGTGGTAAGATAAAGGGGAATTCAAACACCAGACATACAATTTATCAAGATTATTTAATAATATCAATGCTCTATTAAAATTCAATTCAATGTTCTATATTTTTCAAATACCCAAACAAATTTAAGCTCACCGTGGGAAACAAACAGATCACTTATCAAGATTATTATGCATTATCAGCTGAGATGAAGATTAGCGATCAACGTAAATCTCTTAAGACGGCTTAATCTCGTTCGATATTATTAGGATTACGACTGAAAATAACGTTAACTACGAGAGCACTCAACTAACGATTCAATCCAATCATTATAAGTTTTACTTTTCTTGTGTATTGATCTCTAAGGTTGTGTACTTCTAGCCATTAGTTGGCTTAATCGCTTTATATGTTACTTCTGTATTCTGACTTATATAGACCAACTTTTAATCAGAAGTTTTTATTAAATAAAGATTCGATCAAGTAAAAGCTAGAAACAAGAGGGAACCCTCAATAGCCACGGCACTTGAAATTATTTTAGGCAGGATTAGAGTAAATTAATCTATGAGACCTTTTTTTTTCATTTCAATTAGCTATATTTTTGTGCGCCAGCAATACTAAGCGTGGGGCACGCGTATAGTCGATTCTATTTTATTACCTATCAGGATCTTTACCAGCCTACCCTCAAATTGAAATTCTTTTAGGCACGATTAGAGTAAATTAATTTATGAGACCCTGGGCGTGGTCAAATATATCAATAGAAAGAATTTGACCAAAACTGAAAGTAGATTTCAAATCGGTCAAGATATGGAGCTATGAGCTAAAAGTCAGTACTTGAAAAAAACTCAGAGACATTTTTTGAGCCGCTATGCCGCGGCTAACAATGAGTACTTGTTTAAACTTACCTTAATAATCTACAGTACTTCTTGATTTGCCTATCCGGTTTAAGTATATGTTCTGTCTTTGATCCAGACTCAAAGTGCTCGGATGTAGTACCGAGCGTGGCTTAGTGATTAGCGTAAGGGTGAATCAGTGGGCCCATGGCTTGCGTCCCGTTGCCGCAAAATTGCGCCACGTTCTTTGGGGATGTGGATGCGTTGCAAAGATTGGCTTTCAAATTCCACTATTATATTAGAATAGACCAAGAAATGACGGTGGTTGTTATTGACTAGTTGCCTTCCCTCTGGTCTATCAGTTCAAAATTAGGAACGGCTAGCGAATACCCGAAACAAAACAACCGGTGTTATTTATATGCACCTCACCAGCTCTCTTGTAACGGCGTCAGGTAGTCGCGCCACAGAATAATATTCTTCAGGGTTGAGGTTAATTTTCACTGGCTGATTTATACCTAGATATAGTACCTCCTGCATTTTACACTAATTGTACAATCAATCTAAACACATCCTAAGATGAATATATTCCACCGAAATAATGCGCTAACTACCTGCAACTTCAAGCAATGACCTAAATCGTCTGCCTGCAAATTTTATGGTATTTATATTCTAAAAAATAAAAAAAAGGCTTAAATATGAAATTAAAAATGTACGTTTGTTTTCTCTATAATTATTCTTACTTACAAAATGAAA